TATAAAAGTGGGATAAAATTCCAACAATAATAATAATAAATAACCCAGATCTCCTCTATGCCAGTCCAGCTCCTTAACTGTTATGTCCTCTTTAGGCGGGGTGGTAACCTCCACTCACAGAAGGGGATTTCGCAAAGTGAAGCGAAATCTCTGCACCTCAATGGCCTCGATTCGAGCGGTTTATACACTCATAAATCTGGATCTGACGCCCCTGTTCTTCTCTTGCCTCGTCTGCCTGTCCCTCTTCCGTTCAGGAAAAAAAAAGAAAAAAGATTCCATACGGAAAAAATCCACCGGGCAGAAGAAAGCGTTGGAGGTGGACATGCCAGGCTTGAAGTCACGGTCTGAAAGTACCAGGATCATGGTGATCTGGCGACGTTGGTCCACCTTCAGCAGCGCCCGCGATTCCTTTAAGAGTAACAAGAGTCTGGAAGGAGAAGCAGCCGGACCCAGCGGCAAACTTGTGCAGAGCTCCGAACTTTCGAGCTCCAGTGCCTAGGCCATGGGGGCTTGGCATTACGAGGAGAGACCTGGACAGAAAAGCTAACATCTCTTACAGTGGCTTGGCTCCAAACTATCTGAAGTCGTACAGCTATGGGGAATAAACATTCATTATCGCGTATGTTTCCTATCACGTTCTCGGCTGCGTGCTGGCTGGGGAATTCTGGGAGTTGAAGTCCACACATTCTTAAAGTTCCCAGGTTTGAAAAGCACTGGTTTCATTCAATGCTTCCCACCCTGGGCCACTTCTGGGTGGGTGGACTTCAACTCCCAGAATTCTCATCCATGGCCATGCTGGCCAGGGAATTCTGGGAGTTGAAGTCCACACATTCTTAAAGGTCCCAGGTTTGAAAAGCACTGGTTTCATTCAATGCTTCCCACCCTGGGCCACTTCTAGGTGGGTGGGTTTCAACTCCCAGAATTCTCATCCATGGCCACGCAGGCTAGGGAATTCTGGGAGCTGAAGCCCACTTGGAAATGGCTTAGGCTGGGAAACCCAGTTGTAATTGGTTTTCCTGCCTATTGCAGAGCGTTGGACTGGAAGATCCATGAGGTCTCTTGTAACTCTGCAATTAATGATTTCAGGGAGCTTTATATCTCCAAATGTGTCACCATTAGGAGGTGCTAGGTGGGGAAACTGGGATCCCCCCCCCCATCTTCAAAGATTTTGAAGCGTCTCTTTTAGGAGTCTGAACTACGGATTGTACGTCGCTTGTTCTATTATGGAGCATGCTGTCTTAATCTCGATGCAGTCAATGTGGAGTTTGCAAAGCAAGACATTGCTTCTGCCCAAGAAACCTATAGTTAAACTGTCTCCATAGTAATGCAGAAAATTGAGATAATTTGTAAATGACCTTTCCTTTACTCTCCAGGAAGAATGTGGGGGGTGGAGGGACAGGAATGCATTTGATCTTTGTTTATTTAATTCAGTTATGGGCTTTCTAACATTAAGTTCCAGAGTCCTTTTGGGTTAGCTCTGGAAATGCAGGAAGTAGTCAAGCGAGAAATATTTTGATTGTGCCCACAGCACTACTTATGTTCTGTAACAGCATGCTTTTCTACCTAAGTAGGAGTGGGGAAGAAAGGAATTTGGATTTGTGGGTGACTGAAAGTCACCCTTCTCAAATTTGCCTTCCTTGATATCAGGGTTTCAGGACCTTGGCCTTTTCCAGGTATATGGACTTCAACTCCCAGAATTCCCCAGCCAGCATGGCTATGCATGAGAATTCTGGGAGTTGAAGTCCACACACTGGGAAGTGGCCCCAGTGGGGAAATACGTCTCTGCATGGATTGGATTGCAACTCCCATCACCCCCAGCCAAGCTTGTGTTGGCTGAGGATGATGAAACTTGCAGTCCAGCACACCTAGAGGGCATCAGGTTGGGAAGGTATGAAGCAAGGTGGCTCGGGGTTTGTATCAGGCGGGGCTTCAACAGGTGGAGCTTTCCCTAAGGCTTCACCTGTTAAAATTCTACCTGTTGCACTCCTAGAAGGCTAGCCACTGCCTGCCTACTGCTGGGAAACGGGATGTTTGCCTACAGATACAGTCCTGCTTACTTCAAGAGAGGCTATGTTAAAGTAAGGCTGAGAAAAGGCTGTAGGCCAGGGTTTGTCAACCTCAGCAACTTTTAAGTTTTAAGCTGGCTGGGGAATTCTGGGAGTTGAAGTCCACGCCTCTTAAAAGTTGCTGAGGTTGCCCTAGGCCCTGCTGGCTTCCGTTGCCTGGCAACAATGAGGATTCTCGTTCCCCGCTTTCTACCAGCGCCTCCAAAGGCCTCCTTGGTCGCCTAGCGACTATCCCCTCCCTTCCCCCCCAACGTCACGAGCAGGACGATCAGCGGGAAGCCACGCGAGGGAGGGAGGCGCGGCGCGGTGACGTCCCGCGCGGCGTCGTGCGTCTGACGCAGCCCGCTGAGGGGGTACGTGGCAGTGACGTCCCGGCCCGCCCTCTTTTCGGCTTGTTTGGCTGTTCGATGCGGAGGCCGGTGTTCGGAGCCGAGCTGTCCAGCGACGCCTAGAGCCGGTTCGGGTCCGCGGGGCTGGTGAGTGCGGGGCGGGGGGTCGCCCGTCAGGGTACTCCCGCTGGGGTCGCGCGGTGCTCCCTCATAAAAGTTCCCCCTCGCCTCGGGTCTCCCCACCCGCGTCAAAAAAGTCCCCCCCCTTTTCCTGTTGGTGTCCCCTCAAAAGGGCTCCCCCTTCCCAGCTCCTTTGCCTCGAATGTGCCTTCTCCTCTTGGGTCCCCCGTGCCTTTCTTCTCCTGGGGAAAGACCCCCCCCCCTTTCCTTACTGTTTTCCCTGTGCCAATGTCCCCGAGCCACTTGAACTACACTTCCCATCCTCTCCAGCCTAGTGGGGTGATGGGAGTAACAGTTCAACCCAAATGGGGTAGTGGTAGTGGTGTCTGTTTGGGAAGGCCAGATGCTTTTTCTTCCTTCCTCTATTTCCCTTGGCTTTTTTCAGCTTCCCCACTTTACCTTCTCCCAATCAAGAAGTGCTGGATCAGACTGGAAGACCCAGATTCAAATCCTCCCCTCCACCAGTAAATTGGCTGCGTGGGTTTGGATCAGTCCCTGTCTTTCAGCTGAACCTACCTCACAGGGCTGTGGTGAAATAAATCAAGGAAGAGGGAAGGTTGGATTGTGACTGCAGCAAGCATAGGATTTTGGTGTAATAGAAGGAAAACTTTACTTTGTTCCTTCCTTTTCAGTTTTTCTGGCATTAAAAAAAAAGTTGTTGTTAAATGTAAGATTTCTGTCTTCCCTTCAGGCTGTAGTCCACATTCTCTCTGGCTGCTCCTGCATGAAAAGATTCCATATGGTCAGGCAGATCCTATTAATACTGGGGTCAGTCCTCAGCTCTTCCAGCTGAAATGGAGAGGCAGAAAAAACATAGCCTATATGATGTAGCAATCTTGGCGAAACTAAGCAGGGTTGGGTTTGGCCAGTTCCTGGATGGGACACCATTTAGGAACCCCGTAATCATTTGCTTCAGTTTCATGGTGAGTAGGTTATCCGTGTAGTAATAATTAAAGTGCTGCATTGCTGACTAAACAGGTGGTTTCCTACCCATTCGTTGCTCTTAGATATACCGTAGCTCCTGTGGAGGGATTTACATCATTTGTTTTATTACTGAGTTCAACTATTTATGTTTTGGGGTCATTGCACATGACACCTCATGAAGTACCCTAAGAGAAGGGACCTGTCTCGTGAAACTTAGAATGAATTTTCAAAGGCCAGGATGGTATAGTAGTGAAGGTGTTAGACTTGGAGTGGAGAGACCCAGGTTCTGGTCCCCTTTCAGCCACAGAAGTTCCCTGGGGGACTTTGTGCCAATCCCTCCCTTTCAGTCTAAGAGCCAGGGTGGTGTAGTTGTGAACGTGTTGGACAGGAGCAGGGAAACCCAAATTCTAATCCTCCCTTGTGGAAGCTCCCTGGTGACTTTGGGCCAGTGACTATATCTCTTCCAGCCTACTTCACAGGCTTGTTGTGGGGGGAAATGGAAGGAGGGTGTGCTATGTTGTGGGGGGAAATGGAAGGAGGGAAAGAAAGGCAGGATCTAAATCTCATAAATATGTAAAATTTTCAAGCTGAGAATATGGGAGAGAGTGGTGACAAAGTTTGAACAGATATTCAAATAAAGAGAGATACATACGGGGTGCAAATCTACCATATTTGGTTTGGTTTTTTTTTTCAGGGTGATAGTGAGGAGGATCTGATCCAGCCTTCTCCTGTCTGCGATCCTTTAGATGTGTTGTATTACAATTCCCATCATTCCCAGCCTGCATGGCCAAAGGTTAGGGAAGGTTGGATCAGATTGATTTTATGACACTTGAGAAGTAAGGCAGAAAAAGAGTCGAGATTTGGATGTCTGATCTAAAGTATGTGCAGTAACATAAACAGTTTCCTCTGTGTAGTCCGATTAGAAAAGCTGATTTAGGTAGCTTCATCAGTGGCTTAGATAGACAAGTTTCATTTTGCTGAGAAGTTCACCGCTGTGGCATATTGTTGGTTTCCTGTTCATTTTCAGTCTGTGGTGACGTTTAGAAAAGCCCTCGGTGCCTGTTGTGCCTTTTAGTTTTAGTTTTACTTCAGCTATTGAATGCATGAACCGAAAGGGTCCCCCTCCTTTTTTGCTTTTAGCAATTGAATTCCATTTACAAAATAAGCAATATGCAATATTCTAAAGAAAGAAAAAAGAGAATAAGAGAATTAAAAAAGGAACAAAATCGTGGAGGACATATATTCACAAATACATATACATATATTAAAATGGTGACCATATTTCAGGATAATCCTTCATAGCTAATCTGGGTCGATAGATCATTGGTTCATATGTTGCTTATATCAACTCTGCAAACTGTAGTTGTTGAAGTTATATGTTGATCCTTTCAATACTGAAGAACAAGTCTTTAAGCAGGGCGTAGAGAATCAGTTTCCATGCAATAGGAATATGAACATCTGAGAATAATTTGTCAACACATTGCACCCCCTTCTTATGGCAAGCAGTCCACTTGTAAGAGTTCTATGGGAATCTTTCTTTTCTTTTCACCCTGGAACTGAGGAAGAGATCTTTTCACTCCCCTGCCAACCACTTGGTAGGTCCAGTACCGTTAACATAAGAATGCACCTATGCCCGATGCCACCAGCTAAAAGTAAATTGATGTCTGACAATAGGTTCTACCAAGAATTGCCATTTCTGCATTTCAGGGTTGCTTGACCACTGGTTTTATTTAGCCGAAATAGTTATCCAACTGAGAGTAAAATTTTATGCCTCTGCTGAAATGAAGCCTCAATATCTCTCACACACAGCACACACACACACAAATCTTAGTCTGTAAAGAGCAGTATAGTGGTGATTCAGACATCTGATCCATTCTTATTAATTATGTCAATGTTTGTGATGAAATGGGAGATGCGGGGATAAATAATCAGACTTTCTCTGGTCCATTGGAGTAACTGGTAGGCCTCTTGTAGGATTCAGTTTCTGAGTTAAGTACTTAGGAAACAATGAAAGGGAAAGTGGGAAGCAGGTCTACTTCGAGTAGGTATTTGAGCATGGGAAAAAGCAAGGCTTGTCTTTCGGTTGGGAGCAACAGATTTCTCCTAGATAGGATCTTTTCTTTTTAAGGCAAATTACACCTTTTTTGTTTTGAAGTATGATTCAAGCCGTTTTCTGGAGCTTGGTAACTGAGAAGGATATGCTAGAGCCCAGCTTGCGTTCCAGGAGTTGCCAAGCCACGCTGCTGACTGAAGCATCAGAAAACTGCACGATTGGCGAAGGATAAACTAATTTGGGAAGGGATACCAAATGGTATGATATAATACAACACTTTAAAGCAAGGATACATCATCTGCAGCCCTCCAGATGCTATTGAACGATAGATCCCAATGTTCCCTTGCAGATGATCACAGCTTGCTGGCCTTCTGGGTTTGGAAATTCAGCCATGTTAAGAGAATTCTGTGTCCACCCCTGTTTCAAACCAGAAAGTCATAGCTCCACCTGGATTTTTTTTTTCAGGCAGCGGTGGCTTGAGTGAACCCTATAGATTTCACTATCCCAAGTGCAGCTGAGGGGCTGTCTACATCCTTGGGAGGTAACAGCCCCTTTCCCTTTCTTCTTGCAGCCGCAGGTTATGAGCCCCCATGAATACGAGGAAACGCCACGGCTCTCGAAACACTGAGCAGGGCGTTTACCTGGGACCATCCCAGACGCAAGCTTTCCCTCCGCTTGGTGCCCCTCCCATTGCTGCTGCTGCTACTACCCCCGTCGCCCCTCCTGAACCTCAGTGGGACGCCATGTCGTGTCAAGATCGCACACAGGAGTTCCGCTCGGCCTGCAAGTCCTTGCAAAGCAGAGAAGTGAGTGCCGCGCGAGGAAGGCAGCAACGGGTGCCAATGCTGCTTTGATCCACTTTAACTTCAGACGGATGCAGAGTTACCATTGTAGAAAGGGTCACCTTCATGATGCCCGGGGTTGTATTTCAGTCTGTCAGAGTCCTCCTGCTAGTGTGAATGAAGATCTAAATGTAACGAGATGAAGGGTGCTCGTGTGCAAATAGGAAAATGTTAGGAGCAGCAACTGAGGGAGGGGGATCAGTATAGCGGGGGTTGAGAGAAGCTTAAAAGGCTCCATGAAAATCTGTCCTTGCTGAACACTGCCCTTTGCATCATGCCAAGGGAAGGTTTGTTCATGAACTAAATACCAGCTTGGGTGGAATTTGGATTCAGACGTTCCCTCTTTTATCTTTCCCCCACAACATGGTTAATACCCCAACAGTGTCTGACAGACTGAAATATGCCTCCAGAAATTCACCTTCCTGAGGATGATGGCTTGGTCCTGAAAGCCATTTGTATGCATCCCAAAGGCCTGTTCACCCTCAGGCCCCACCAGCACAACTTGCTGAAAATCTGAGGGTCGCTGAGGGGCAGGGGAAAGCCTTGTAGCTCTATGCCTGAGATCAGGGTCCCTGGAAAAGAAGAGGAAGCTGGGTCATTCCCACCCCCTTTTTTTCCCAAGGAGCCTTCTGGGTCATGGAGAGGAAGGGGGAAATCCATTTTGCCCTCATTCCTGGCAATCTGGTGCATGGTTGTGGAGAAGAAGATGGAAGCCATGAGGTTCCCATCTTGCAGTGATTCTGACTACAGTCTGCTTTTTTGCCCTGCGCCTGAACCTTCAGCTTTGGCCTTTGTGATGATCCTCAGTGAGATCTGTTGGCTGGCAGGAACCAAGGACTGGTTCTTCCCAGCTGTGGTTGAATCTCAGAAGACAGGAAGTGGCAGTTGGTATCCTGCCCAGTGTGGGAAGATGCATGTCTTAAATGAGCACTTTCTCACCAGGGAAATTGCTCCTGTGGAAAGGGAGGGTATGTAGACTTTAGTTTTCTTTGGGTAAAGCAGTAGCGATTTCCTTTTTCTGCTTTCCTGTTTCCAGAATGGGCTTCACGTGAACAAGCCAGCGCAGAGTGGAGCCATGCGGCAAAGAAGTGAATTCACTCTTATGGCCAAGTGAGCAAGTTGGACCATTTGTTTCTAGCAAGGGTGACTAAGTCAGGGGTGGGCAGCATGGAGCCACCTATGAAGGCCCTTCAGCCTTGACTGCTGAAATGGATAGCAAATTGTCCTACCCTTTTAAGGCAGAACGTGCATGGAATAAAACATAAGTCCTAAAACAGGCTTAACATCAACCCCACCTATTTGGCACCCTCACACTGCTCACTGTGGCCCCCATCTTCCCCAAAATGTTAAGTGTGCCCCTACCCCATTATCAAAAGGTTGCCCGTCCTTGTAAGGACCTCAACATAAAAGCTGCCCAGTTAATTCTGGGCAGCCAGAAGCTACCGTTTGGCAAGGCCCAGCCTGTGGGGTTTGATGCAGCAACAGCTCTTTCAGGTGGAGGAGAAAGCAAATTGGCCAGAAGATTGGAGATGTGAAGATGAAAGATTATATTAGGAGTGGCACAATCTTGGTTTCTTCAAAATCCTGTGATTCCTAGGAACAGAGAATTCTAGTAGGAATGTCTAGGTTAGGAAGTGCTAGTATAAACATTGGGGTGGCTAGACTAGGGCCCTCCAAATGCCATTGGGCTCACAGTTTCCATCAATACCATTTGGAGCATGTTGAAACGCCCAGGCATATTGAGAGTTCAGTAATCTGGAGGGTCACAAGTTGCTAATTCCCAGAATCTGGCTAAGATCAGCGAGTGCCGGGGTAAAATCGGAAAGAGTTGGGTCCAGATCTTTGCCCAACTGTGAGAATATCTGCAGGTCTCTTTGTCCAGTTCCCTGAAGCAAATGCATTCTTGGCTTAGTCTGATTTGTCAACACTTGGCTTCCACGGCTCTTCGTCAGAGAAAATTCATAGGAAAGCAGTATTGTCTGTCGAGAATTTGGTGTTGTATTTGATGGCCCATCTCTTGTGATTCTCAGGCGCATTGGAAAAGATCTCAGCAACACCTTTGCCAAGCTAGAAAAGCTAACAATTTGTGAGTATTTGGGGTTTGCATGTGGCAAAAGATTACTGTGGGAGTCACAGTAATTGGGCAGTCAGAGAGAGGCATCAGCTGAATTAATGAAAATCGGGGAAAGTGTTGGAATGAGAAGGCTGGCAGCTGTCTATGAATACTGTTCTAATAAAAGAGAATATCTGTAGCTCAGAGTTGAACTGTGGAGTCCTTGGTGCTCTCTGAGCTTGGTGGTTTGCTTGCAGACTTTTCATTGCCCAACTGGGTAACATCAAGCCCTGATGACGTTACCTGGTCGGGTAATGAAACGTTTGCAAGCAAACCGCCAAGCTCAGAGAGCACCAAGGACTCCATATGAATACTGTGTTTGGGTAAGAGAATTGAAAATAATCCAAATTGGAATGGGAGATGCACTGCTGCTCCCTTAACAGATTTTGAAAAGAATTTTCTACTCGCACCCTATTAAATGAGAGGTCTGCTAATATAGTTGCCCATTTTAAGCAAGAATGCTGCCTAAAACAAGCAAGAGACCCATAATCCTACGTTGGGAGATTTCCAGTCCTGAGATTTGTTATTTGTCACTCTTTTCTGCCCCAAGGGTTTTCAGAGTGCTAAAATGAAATCCAGGAAGAAGGCAATCTGCAGTCCGTGGCTGTTATGTTACAATCCAAAAAACAGGGAGGGAGGGAGGGAGGGAGACATAAGAACATTGAGAGTGAGAGGGCAGAGTGGGACTTAGTGTAGTTGCTGGGGGACACGGAGGGAGGGCTGGTGAAAGAAAAGTTAATAATCCCAGATCTGACTCTTTGCATACTCAGTGGCCAAACGGAAATCACTCTTTGATGACAAGGCGGTGGAGATAGAGGAGCTGACTTACATCATCAAGCAGGTAAGGAAGGCAGTGAGCAGAAGCGTGGAGTGTGCAAGGCAGGGGAGAAAGAACATCAGGCAGCCACCTGTTGTGGGCTCCCTCTCTCCCAGCTCTCTGAAAGGCACAGCTTTTGATCCAGCACCTTTGGGCTCCCTGACATCATCGCTCAACCCAGTTCCTTTCTCATCGCAGGATATCAACAGCCTGAACAAACAGATTGCACAACTCCAGGAGTTTGTCAAAGCCAAAGGCAGCCAGACTGGAAGACATGTGCAAACACACTCCAACACTGTGGTAGTTTCCCTGCAGGTGAGGCTTAAAAGCTGCGGAAAACTCCTCCCGTGGGCAAAAGCCCTTTACATTTTCAAAATGGGGGAGGGGGGAGGAGATGGGGGGAAAAAGATTCTGTGCAAATGGGCACTTCTTGCAGGATTGAACTCACTGTGTTTTGTGTTTTCCTGGTGCAGAAGTTTCAGATGCTTGAGTGCTTGTAAAACATGCTTCCTGTAAAATACGCATCCCATTACTTGCACTCTGCTCAGGAAAACGCAGCAGTAGTAACAGGAGAATGGAGGGAAGTTTTCTGCAACAAACTCTGATTTTTGCTTTCCTCGCTTCTTTTCTCCTTCCCTTTCTAGTCCAAGCTAGCTTCCATGTCCAATGATTTCAAGTCTGTTTTGGAGGTGCGGACAGAGGTGAGTTACTGATAAGCCGTGGCTTTCAAACTTTGCCCTGCGGAGCTGCTGCGGGACAGCGCAGTAGCCATTTTCACTTACTCAGGTGTCAGGAAGTGATAGAGTGGGTCATCCTAGTTCAGAGAAGAGGGAGGGAGGGAGGGAGGGAGGGA